GGTGTGGAAGGGAGAAATAGGCATGAAATTTTGGGTGACTGAAATGTTCTCAAAGTGAATTTTAGGTGAAAGTTGCACAAATCTGCAAATATACTAAATAGTAATGAATTGTACACATAACATGAATCAATCTTATGTAAATTAGACTTTTTTGAAAAATTTAAAATATATCATTTAAATTTGTCAGTGAAATATTTTCCTAAAAGTTGTGAAATTCACAACACATTTGCTGAAATTTATCTTTCTAGTTTTATCTTTTCCATTCTTTCACATCTAATAAATTGTAGAATTTGTCCATTTCCTTAAGTTATGGATTTGAAAAAAGGGATAAGTCTAAATTTCAAATATCCATATCTTCCCCCTGCCTGTAGTTAGTCACGTGAAATGCTGACCTTAACCTAGCAGAGGGGTCCCATCTGGGTATGGACCCTGAGAAATGTTGAGGAACCCTACACAGTGCCAGGAACAGAGCTCCCAGAACAAATCCATGAAGAAAGCCCCAAAAGATAACAAAGGTTTTTTGGGAGAGCTTAAGATGCACTCTGGTTCAGCTAAGACAACTGAGAGCAGAGGCGAGGGCCTGGCTTATTCAGTCCTCATCTAGCCAGGCCTAACAAGATGGTTTGGCCAAAAAAATCAACTTGCTGATGGGCTCCTGTGTTAGTATTCATGGCAATGTATGCAGAAGGCAGCTCCTCTTTGTCTCCAACAATATCTAATTTTTCACACCATCTTCTGTAGAGGAAGAAGCCTGACACATTCTCCATGTCACAGATTTTCATACACCTTTGTCAGGTGCTTGTCATTTGTTATTCAACGTTGATATAGTATAAACAGTAAAGTGTCCCCAGTGTCCATTCTTCCTGTTTTCTTTTTCTTTTGGTACAAGAACCAAAAGCAGGGCAGGGGCCAGCGCCGCGGCTCACTAGGCTAATCCTCCGCCTTGCGGCGCTGGCACACCGGGTTCTAGTCCCGGTCGGGGCACCAGATTCTGTCCCGGTTGCCCCTCTTCCAGTCCAGCTCTCTGCTGTGGCCAGGGAGTGCAGAGGAGGATGGCCTAAGTACTTGGGCCCTGCACCCCATGGGAGACCAGGAGAAGTACCTGGCTCCTGGCTCCTGCCATCGGATCAGCACGGTGTGCCAGCCGCAGCGTGCAGGCCGCGGCGGCCATTGGAGGGTGAACCAACGGCAAAGGAAGACCTTTCTCTCTGTCTCTCTCTCTCACTGTCCACTCTGCCTGTCAAAAACAAAACAAAACAAAACAACAACAACAAAAAAAAAGCAGGGCAGGGAACGTGGCTGGCCACCTAGAGACTACCCAACCCACCTCCCTGCATGGATGAGGTATGTGTGCCTGCCTAGAAATGGCTGAAATGGCCTAGAGCAGTCAGGTAGGTCATAGTGGAATAACGGGACTTGGAACATTGAATGACTGTATTAAGCAGAACCATCTGGACCACTGCCTACCTTCGGATTGACATAAGAGAGATACAAACTTTTTGTTGTTTCATTTCAGCAGCTTAGCCCATACCCAAATAAATTGTGACTGAGGGATTAAAAGGCTTACCTAGGGACCAGTGTTTTCACACAGTGGGTTAAGCTGACGCCAGCAATACCAACATCCCATTTGACCGATGGTTCAAATCCTGGGTGCTCTACTTTTTTTTTTTTAAGATTTATTTATTTATTTGAAAGAGTTAGAGAAGGCGGGGGGAGAATCTTCCATTTGCTGATTCATTCCCCAAATGGCTACAATGGCTGGGGCTGGGCCAGGCCAAAGGCAGGAGCCAGGAGCTTCCTTCAGGTCTCTCACATGGGTGCAGGGGACCAAGAACTTGGGACATCCACTGTTGCTTTTCCAGGACACTAACAGGGAGCTGGATTAGAAGTGGAGTGGCTGGGACATGAACTGGTGCCCACATGGGATGCCACCACAGCAAGATGGCAGCTTAACTGGTTGCACCAGAACTCAGGCCCTGGTGCTCTACTTCTGATCCAGCTCCTTGCTAATCCTCCTGGGAAAGCAGCCGAAGAAACCTAAGTACTTGGGTCCCTGCCATCCACATGGGAGACCAGGATGGAGTTTCAGCCTTCTGGTCTCTCTGCCTGGCCCAGTCCTAACCATGTTGGCCATTTGGAGAGTGAACCAGTGAAGGGAAGAATCTCTCTTTCACCCTCTGTCTCTACCCACCCCCCAACCCTTCTCTCTCTGTTTCTACCTTTCTCTGTTAACTCTTCCTTTCTAATAAATAAATAAATCTTTAAAAAAATTGCCTATTTCTTAGTTTCATTTCTGCTTCTAAGGTGAGGCTTTTGTAAAACTACTGTACTACTTTAGGCCTTAATTTCTGCATCTTAAAATTAGGGTTGGATTAGAATGGCAATCCTTATTTTTGGTGTGCCATAGAAGACTTTGAAAAACTGAGAATATGACTTTTTTTTTTTTTTTTGACAGGCAGAGTTAGACAGTGAGAGAGAGAGACAGAGAGAAAGATCTTCCTTTTCCATTGGTTCACCCCCCAAATGGCCACTATGGCCAGCGCGCTGCACCGATCTGAAGCCAGGAGCCAGGTGCTTCCTCCTGGTCTCCCATACAGTTGCAGGGCCCAAGCACTTGGGCCATCCTCCTCTGCACTCCCAGGCCACAGCAGAGAGCTGGACTGGAAGAGGAGCAACCGGGACAGAATCCGGCGCCCCAACCGGGACTAGAACCCGGGGTGCTGGCACCGCAGGCGGAGGATTAGCCAAGTGAGCCACGGTGCCAGCCAAGAATATGACTTTTAAATGCATAAAATAAAATACTAGCAGGGGGAGGTCAGTATGGTGGCATAACTGGTTAATACGCTCCTGAGACACCAGCATCCCATATGGGTGCCCGCTTGAGTCCTGGATGCTCTACTTCTGATCCACCTCCCTGCTAATGTGCCTGGGGAAGGCAATGGAAAATGGTCCAAGTGCTTGGGCCCCTGCACCCATGTGGTAGACCTGGAAAAACTCCGGGCTCCTGCCTTTGGCCTGGCAAAGCTCTGGACATGGTGGCCATTTGGGGAATGAATCAGTGGATAGACGATCTCTCCATGGCTCTCCCTCTCTCTCTCTGTAACTTTACCTTTCAAAAAATTTTTTTTAATCTTAAAAAATAAATAAAATTAAACACAAGGAAACTTCAAAATGTTCATGGAAAGTGGACTTAAAAGATAAGTTTATTTTGGTATGAAAAAAAATTAAGTCCATGCACAGTTTTTTCATAATATGTCTTTTTCATGAACTTTTTAACACCCCTCATATGCACAGATTTAAAAGCTTTTGCAGCAAAATCTTTTTGCACCCAAATAAACTTATCATTTAATTCAATTTTCCACAGATTTTTGAAGTCCATGAGATTACAAAAGAAGCCAAGTATGCTGCAATATATTAATTGTGAACACTTTGAGAGGCTGTAGATCCCAGTTAAGAACCTGGATGGGCTCTGAAGTTCCATCCTGATCCAAATGCCTGTGAATACTGATTCTCTTTAGGGCACGAGAGATAGAAATTGAGGAGTTGACCTGAACTTATGATTTTAATTTTCTGTATATTATATTTTGATATCTTAATCTTTCTGCTTGGGAGAGACTGCTCCTCCTGTGGCTCAGCAGACAACAAAGCGCCCCCACAGAAGTATGCATACAGGGGCCAGCGCTGTGACGTAGTGGGTAAAGCTGCTGCCTGCAGTGCTGGCATCCAATATGGGTGCCAGTTCGAGACCCAGCTGCTTCACTTCTGATCTCTGCTGTGGCCTGAGAAAGCAGTAGAAGATGGCCCAAGTCCTTGGGCCTTTGCCCCCACGTGGGAAACCCGGAGGAAGCTTCTGGCTCCTGGCTTCGGATCAGCCCAGCTCCGGCCATTGCAGCCATTTGGGGAATGAACCATGGGATGGAAGGTCTCTCTCTCTCTCTCTCTCTCTCTCTCTCTTTCTCCATCTGCCTATCTGTAACTCTACCTTTCAAATAAACAAATAAATAAATAAATCTTAAAAAAAAAAAAAAAGAAGTGTGCATACTAATGATCTAGAGCCAGACCTCTCCTCTATTTGACCCATATTACCCACAAGGCAACATTCCTCTTCATAAATTATCCATGGCCAGGGAACCAGGCAACCAGAGACCACACTTATAATTTAGAGCCCACCAAATGATTCAAGCTAGTAATGCTAAACTGTTTATTTTCCCTACAGAAACTCCAGTAAAGGCCACGGTCTAGGCTCTGCCCTTACCACTGCCCCTTCTGCCTCCTGACCCACCCTCTTACCTCCCCAAGTAACCCTTGTGTGCCTCCTGTCTCTAGGACCCTTGACTTTAATAAACTTTGTTTTTTTTGGTCCTCTCCTCTATCTCCTCTTGGGCTGCACCTGATTGACATCACATAAAAGAACAGAGAAGTCCACTCTGAAGGTGTTAATTAGTTCTTCCAAAATGCTAGGCTCCCATGTGGAAACAACATCCACTTGTACATATGTACTGTATTTAAGACATCACTGAAAAAAAAAAGATTCCAAAATCAACATTTTTTGTCTTAAGAATTAAGTTGTAGTTCTTTGCTTAATAGCTCAACAAAACTGAACTATAAAGAAGGACCTGGAAAGAAATAATAAAGTTGCTCCTTGAAAAACATATTAAAGAGTAAGTCCCAAAATGATACAGCGTCTTTTATGGCAGCTTTCATAAACTGAGATGGCTTTCTGTGGTGTTAGGATTTAGCAGCCCCACTCAAACATCCACAGAGAACTGTGCTAGAGGCTCACGGAAGAAGAGGGAAGACCTGGTATTAGTGACAGTACTGATGCATTCAGGGTTTGCTTTGCATACTAGGTTTAATTTCACTGGAAATTGCTATGTCTATTCTAGGTAGTCTGGAAGAGTTTTCAAATGACACATCATTATAAAAACATGTTTGACTAGACTGATTTGGCCCTGGTGTTTTAAACATTGTTGGGAATTCTGTTTTTAGCTAAGTCTTACCTCGAACAAAGACATAAGCGCTATATTCTTCATAATATTCGCCCATTCGTACACGAATTGTATAGAGGCCTTCATCTTCTTTGTTGAGATGAGAAAATGTCAGTGTAGCCCGCTCTCCACTCCAGTGTGTTTGCACCCATTTTGATGGAGAAACAGGCGCCCCTACAAAAAATTAAATAATGCAAATTAACTGATGTTTTACCTCCATTGCTTTCTTCTTCCATCCCCTCCATTCTTCTCCCACTCTCTTTCTTCTTCCTTTTCTATAATGAGAGTTCTAGAGGTTTCTAGAGCTTTATGTCATTCTGCCATGTTTATATTAGTAAAAATATTAGACCAGAAATGAGAGAACCAGAGCCAGTTACATAATTTGTAGGAATCAGTTCAAAAATTAAATTGCAAAGTACCTTGTTCAAAACACAGAAAAAAAGTATAAAGGTGCTAAATTATAAGGATTTTCCTTTAAAAATATTTTATTGCTTGTAAAACATAATGGGGGTGAGGGGAGGCTGGCACTGCAGGTTAAAGCTCTGGCCTGCAGTGCCGGCATCCCATATGGCCTCTGGTTCAAGTCTAGGCTGCTTTACTTCCAATCCAGCTCTCTGTCAATGCACCTGGGAAGGAAGCAGAGGATGGCCCAAGTCTTTGGGCCTCTGCACCCACATGGGAGATCCAGAAGAAGCTCCTGATTGACTCCTGGCTACTGATTGGCTCAGTTCCAGCTATTGAGGACATTTAGGGAGTGAACCAGCAGATGGGAGACCTCTCTCTCTCTCTCTCTTTCTTTCTCTCTCTGTCTCTACCTCTCTTTATAGCTTTGTCTTTCAAATAAATAAAATAAATCTTTTAAAAAACATAATAGGGATAATATAAGCTGTAAAAATAGTATTTTGGAGCTATAATTTTATATAAAATAAATAATACTTTACTAATGTGATATCCTGATTGTTAAGATATTTCTGGCTCATTTTTCTGCAAATATATCTATTAAGTCATTAAAACTTATACTTTTAGCAACTTTATGTTCCATCAGTGTTAAAAGTAATGGTCACCAGATAACCAAGCACCAAAAAGGAAACCTGTTGAAGTGAAATAGACACTATGAGAAACAATGACTTGATCAGCCCTTGTCTTGACTGTCGAGGAACAACTTAATATTTTATCCCTTTTAGTATTTTTTTTGTTGTTCTACTTAATACTATTGGTTGAACTCTATAATTAATACACAATTATTCTTAGGTGTTTAAATTTAACTGAAAAGTGATCCCTGTTAAATATAAGAGTGGGAATAAGAGAGGGAGGAGATGTACAGTTCAGCACATGCTCAATCGGACTTACCCCTAATGGTAGAGTTAGAAACGTGCCAGGGGATTCCAATTCAATCCCATCAAGGTGGCATGTACCAATGCCATCTCACCAGTCCAAGTGATCAGTTTCAGTTCATAATTGATTATAATGATAGGACTAAGAGTCAACGGGATCACATAAACAAGACTAACATCTGCAAATACTAACTGATAGAATAAAAAAGGGAGAGAACGATCCAACATGGAAAGCGAGATATACAGCAGATTCATAGAATGGCAGATGTCCTAAACAGCACTCTGGCCTCAGATTCAGCCCTTAAGGCATGCAGATCCAGCTAAAAAGCCCATGAGAGTATTTCAGGCATGGCAAGCCAAGACACTCTGGAAAAAAAAAAAATGACCGAAATGAAAGATCTCTGTGAGTGAGATCCCAGCGGAAAGAATGGGCGATCAAAGAAGGAGGTACCTTTCTCTGAAGGGAGGAGAGAACTTCCACTTTGACTATGACAGTGTCTAAATAAGATCAAAGTTGGCAAACTCAAGAGGTTTCCATAGCCTTGGCAACTCATGACAGAGCCTTGGGTGATTACTGACGCCATAAACAAGAATGTCAATTGTTAAATCAACAACAGGAGTCACTGTGCACTTACTCCTCATGTAGGATCTCTGTCCTTAATGTGTTGTACTATGTGAATTAACGGCATAACTAGTACTCAAATAGTACTTTACACTTCGTGTTTCTGTGTGGGTGCAAACTGTTGAAATCTTTACTTAGTATATACTAAATTGATCTTCTGTATATAAAGAGAATTGAAAATGAATCTTGATGTGAATGGAATGGGAGATGGAGCGGGAGATGGGATGGTTACAGGTGGGAGGGAGGTTATGGGAGGAAAAAGCCACTATAATCCAAAAGCTGTACTTTGGACATTTATATTTATTAAATAAAAGTTAAAAAATAAGTAATGGTCACTCTTCAAATGCAAGCTCACAAATGAATTTTGATAATTTTTTATTTAGAGAGAGCTGTTTGTTTAATATACCTGTTTTTGGAGCTATACTTGTTAAATATGGTATAGCAACATTGGGTTAACTCTCTGATAAATTATTTTAAAATATAAAGTTTAGCAATCTAGAGCTAATGATTCTTTAGGAACAATTTTTTCCGGAATATTTAACTCTGAACCAGCAGATATGTGCTTGCTCTCTCTCTCTTTCTGTTTCTCAAACTAAAAAATAAATTGATAATATTAAAATTAGAAAAGATTTAACTCCATACAAATCTCATTTCAGGTAAATCTGAATTTAACTTTAAGTGTAAACTTACAGATTTGCATTTTCTTAGCCTTCCCTCTGACATTTCCTCTAACCTATAGAGGTCACACTAGAAATCAAAGATGACTGTGATTGGTATATAATTCAGAATGCTGTTTGTGTATCTATCACTGTATCTCCAATTACATGGAGAAAATAATTTTAAATGTCTTTGTTAAGAACTGATTTATCCAAAGTTTCATGTGAAATCATGTTCTTTTCCATCAAGTTCTAAAATCTTTAAATGTAATTTCCATTTCTAAGCCTCAAAAACCAATTTGCAACATGTGTATGTCTGTTATTATCTTGTAATATTTTATGGGCAAAGTTTGCTGCCTGGTTGTTAGCAGTTCCTGTGCCAGAACTCAGGCTGGGGAATTAATACTTAGATATCATATCTATGGTATCTTGGGAACAGTTGGCAAGCTGGCCTCCCACTGTGGGCCTGCCCTCAATTCTTCTCCTCTGGGGCCACAGCCCACGGCATCATGGCAGTGGTGGCAGCTGCTGCTTCTGCTTGTGCCCTTGCTGTTGCTAACCATGATCTAGGCTCAGGTCCTGGTTCCACCCATCATCTTTGAACCACCTATGTCCGAGCATGCTCCAGGTGCTCATATCCACACCTGTAGGCCAGGTCTGCTGTTTTGTGAGCACTTAGTTCACCAACCGCTGTGTCAGGTAACCTATGCCTATACATTCTGCACTGCCATTTGGCATTATCTTCTCTGATAATAGGCACATGCCATAGTCCCATTGGACTTAATGAAACACTAGTTCAAAGATAAAATGATTATGAATTTCAAGACAGTGATAGCAGAACATCAAACCAAGCCCAGATCCCATGGAGATTGGGATCTGCCCAGTTTGGATCATGCCCAGTTTGCATGCCCAAAAAGTAAGCCTTAGTAGTCAAGTCTCTTTCATTAACTAATTATCCAAGTTTGGGAAATCACTGAACCTAGCCTGCCATCTGAGTCTCCCATGTAGGTGGCAGGGGACCATGTACTTGGGCCGTGCTCCATTGTTTTCCCAGGTATATCAGCAGGAAATCGGATAAAAAGAGGAAAAGCCTGGACTTCAATCATCTGAGTACTCTTATATGGATGCTGAGTGTTGCAAATGGTGGCTCAGCCTGCCACACCACAACACTAGTCCCCAAGTTTACTTTATAAAATGGTTACACAGGGGCTGATGTGGTGGTACAGCAGGTTAAGCCATTGTGAATGCTGGTTCAAGTCCTGGCTATTCTGCTTCTGATCCAGCCCCCTGCTAATGCACCTGGAAAGCACCCAAACATGGCCCAAAGGGCTTGGGTCCCTGTCACCCACATGGGAGACCAGGGTGGAGTTCCAGGATCCTGGATTTAGCTTGGCCCAGCCCCAGCCACTGTGGCCATTTGGGAAATGAACCAGTAGATGGAAAAATAAATTTTAAAAAGTCTTTTTTAAAAACCAGTTAAACAGAAAATTTATGACAACCTTATTTATACAGAGTGGCTAAATATGTCTGAAATTAAAAAAAAAATTAAGAACTTTAAAATCTAATCCTCTCTAGAAATCAACCTGTTGAAGACTTTAAGACAAATTAAAAGGGAGATGGGAGGCTTCAGGTCTTTTCGTGGCTCTCTCGCCAACATATCTTCTATCAGCTAGGATCTAGCATGGGATTTGCAGATGAATATGTACCTGAGTGGAAGTTCTGCCACCTACAAGACAGACCCAGTTGGACTTCCTGGCTCCTGACTGTTCTGGCCCAGCCCCAGCTGTTGAGAGCATTTGTTGAGTGAACCAATATATGGAAGATCTCTTTCTCTCTCTCTCATCTCTCCTTCTCTCTGTCACTTTGCCTTTCCAATAAATGAAAGAAAGAAAGAAAGAAAGAAAGAAAGAAAGAAAGAAAGAAAGAAAGAAAGAAAGAAAGAAAGAAAGAAAGAAAGAAAGAAAGAAAGGAAGGAAGGAAGGAAGAAAGAGAAAGGAAAGAAAGAAAGAAAGAAAGAAAGAAAGAAAGAAAGAAAGAAAGAAAGAAAGAAAGAAAATTATTCTGGGCTTAGAATGTAAACCACAGGGTCTAGAAGTGTCATCTGGCCAGAATTTTGCTATGTGAGTTGGGACAACTCCCTTTCTCATCAGAGTTTTAATGTAATCATCTATTGGATGAGATAATCTGGTATAGAAAGGGTATATTTGAATATAAGATTGATTGTTATTTTAGAAATAACATTATTTCTTAAGTCTATTGCTTCAGCTGATCACATTATTTTGACAGCTTTTTGTTTCATTTGTTTTGGAGCACTACCTAGACTTTAAATAGATTTTATCCCAAATAGGATGGAAAAAGGGAAATAAAATCCTTATTTATTTCTCATAGCAAAGTTATCATGACTCTAGACCCTTTTGAAATAAAGTAAGGTAAAATGTGATTTAAAGCCAGAGTAGGAAGAATTGACAGTAAAGATTTTCTTTTATTCTGCCCCAGTGTTGCCACTTTGATAAATATGTAAAAACGCTTTAAAAAAGACAGTAGGAGGCCCCCCTTTAATTTCTAGATTCTGTCTGCACTGATGAACAGATCTATAATCTATTCTATAACCTTCTGAGAAAAAGAATCCAATGAGAATCCATTATGAAGACTCACCATTTCTGTACCACTGGATCTCCGGCTGGAACTGTTTGATTTCAGGTGTGATAACTACACGGCATCCCAGACTCATCGTCTCTCCCTCTCTCCCAAAAGACACATCAAACTTGTCATCAAAGTGGATCTCAAACTTTGATGCATAACCATAAGGGGTTACAGCAACTAGGTACAAAAACAAACAAACAAAAAAACAAAACAAAATAAAACCAAGTAGCAGCTATTTAATTTTTTTTCTCATCAAAGAGACATCAGCATTTTAACAAATACAGGAAGAAAGCAGCTGCAACAAAGATTGATCAAATTATTTACTTTGGTAAAAATCAAGTCCTATTTTAAAAGTTCGTAAAACATACACATATCTAATTTATATGGGACTTTTTGCTTCATTAGTCATAGAAGCTAATTGCTTATTTTTATTACTCTAATGAATAGAATCTAAAGGGTCACATTAATATCATAAGTATAAACTGATACTACATTTAGCCTAGACTTAAATAAGCTATAAAAATATATGAACTTTTTAAATTAAAATTTTAGATTTTTGGGGCCGGCGCCATGGCTCACTTGATTAATCCTCTGCCTGCGGCGGCGGCATCCCATATGGGCACCTGATTCTAGTCCTGATTGCTCCTCTTCCAGTCGAGATCTCTGCTGTGGCCCAGGAAGGCAGTGGAGGATGGCCCAAGTGCTTGGGCCGCAGCGCCCGCATGGGAGACCAGGAGAAAGCACCTGGCTCCTGGCTTCGGATCGGCGCAGCACGCCGTCCGTAGCAGCCATTTGGGGGGTGAAACAACGGAAGGAAGACCTTTCTCTCTGTCTCTCTCTTTTACTGTCCAACTCTGCCTAATTAAAAAAAATTAGGCCGGCGCCGTGGCTCAACAGGCTAATCCTCTGCCTTGCGGCGCCAGCACACCGGGTTCTAGTCCCGGTCAGGGCGCCAGATTCTGTCCCAGTTGCCCCTCTTCCAGGCCAGCTCTCTGCTGTGGCCAGGGAGTGCAGTGGAGGATGGCCCAGGTCCTTGGGCCCTGCACCCCATGGGAGACCAGGATAAGTACCTGGCTCCTGCCATCGGATCAGCGCGGTGCGCCGGCTGCGGCAGCCATTGGAGGGTGAACCAACGGCAAAGGAAGACCTTTCTCTCTCTCTCTCTCTCTCACTGTCCACTCTGCCTGTCAAAAAAAAATTTTTTTTTAAATTTTTAAAAAAATTAGATTTTTTAGATTTTAGATTAAAATTTAAAATTTTAGATTAGCTTCTTCCAGGTCTCCCACATGGGTGCAGGGACCCAAGGATGTGGGCCACCTTCTACTGCTTTCTCAGGCCACAGCAGAGAGCTGGATTGGAAGTGGAACAGCCAGGACTAGAACTGGCGCCCATAGGGGATGCTGGCATTTCAGGCCAGGACTTTAACCTGCTGTGCCAAGCACCGGCCCCAATACATTGATATTATATGCCAGGCACTTCATATCTGATACGTCAACTACTGTGTGGCAATGACTCCACATCACAGATATTTTTCTCTTTTAGATGGAAACATGGAAGTTTACAAAGGTAATATATAGCTAATGCCAAAATTTCACAGATAACATGTATAAAATTGAAATTCAAAACCATTTCTTCCCAACTCCAAAATTTATGTTTTTCCTATCATATTTTGTCTCTGTTCCTTATACCTCTCAGTATTAACGAGAAAATGCAAATTTAAATTTATTAAGTTCAATTTTTGCCAACTATTGTTCCAAGTATTTAACAGCTATTAACTCAATTTCACTCCACAATCATCTCAGTGGGTTAGTACCATTATTATCTCTGATAGAAAAGGAAATGGATATACACAGGGCCTCATCATTGCTCACCCTCACTGTTTTCAGAAGCTGCTCAACCCAGACACTTTACTGCCTTGAACTTGGGTATTCCCAGGAAACACTAACAAATAATGAGATCATTTCTCTTCAAACCATATCTACCATCTGTCCACATCTATATGATGATATTTCACTAAGACCAAGGAAAGAAACAACTTGGTCAGATTTTTCATGGCAATGGAGGCCTGGACTGGCTCCAAGGCTGCCTTCAGGAGTAGAGGTCAGGGTTATGAGGATGCCCTGCAGTGACCCAGCAGCTCCAGACTCAACTAGATACCCAAGTAGCCCACCAAGAAACAGACTCTGACTCTGGGTTCCCGCTATAGTTGATGTTGGGCCAGACTGCTAAGGGAACTTTGGGGTTCAGTAGGAAGTCACCAAGCTTAACCAACCAGAAGACAAAATATCATGCCATTACCACTTTCTCAACTCTTTATCATGTGTACTTTCTATTCCAGAAAAATAGGGTTAGGACAGGGGTTGGCAAATCTGTGGGCCAGACATAGACTGCCTCCTGTTTAGTTTCATTAAAAATGGTTTTTAGGGGCTGGCGCTGTGGCGCAGTAGGTTGAGGCCCTGGCCTGAGGCGCTGGCATGCCATATTGGGCACCAGTTCTAATCCCAACTGCTCCTCTTCTGATCCAACTCTCTGCAATGGCCTGGGAAGGCAGTAGAAGATGGCCCAACTCTTTGGGCCCCTGCACCCATATGGGAGACCCAGAGGAAGCTCCCGGCTCCTGGCTTCAGATAGGCACAACTATGGCAGATGTGGCCATCTGGGGAGTGAACCAGCGGATGGAAGATCTCTCTCTCTCTGTCTCTACCTCTCTCTGTATCTCTGTCTTTCAAATACAAAAAATAAATATTTTTTTAAAAAAATGGTTTCTAAAATTATTTAGTAGTTGAAAAAAATCAAAAGAAAAACATTTTGTGATACCTAAAAAGTCATAGAAATTCAAATTTTAATGTTCACAAATAAGATTTTATTAGAATGCAACCACACTCACCCATCTACATACTGTCAATGGCTACTTTTGGGTTACAATGGCAGAATTGGGTAACTGTGACAGAGACTATGACCTACAAAGCCTAAAATATTTACAATCTAGCCTTTTACAGAAAATATTTGTCATTCCCCAGTTTAAAATGTGGTTTAAGGGGCTGGCGCTGCAGCATAGCGGGTAAAGCTGCTGCCTGCAGTGCTGGCATCCCATATGGGTGCCGGTTCTAATCCCGGCTGCTCCTCTTCTGATCCAGCTCTCTGCTGTGGCCTGGGAAAGCAGTAGAAGGTGGCTCAAGTCTTTGGGCCCCCACAACTGCATCGGAGACCTGGAAGAAGCTCCTGGCTCCTGGCTCCTGGCTTCGGATTGGCGCAGCTCTGGCCGTTGCAGCCAATTGGGGAGTGAACCATTGGATGGAAAACCTCTCTCTCTCTCTCTCTCCTCTCTCTGTGTAACTCTGCCTTTCAAATAAATTAAAAAATCTTTAAAAAATAACAAAATGAAATAAAATGTGGTTTAAAATTATAAAGACCAGATTACAAGTCCCTATTCTATCACTATGTGTGGTCTTATACCACTACTTAAACTCTTTTCTTCCCTGCAAAGTACAGATAAGAATGCATACTTCATAAGCTTTTGAGTAACATTAAATGAATTAATGTATGTGAAAAATGTTTTGGTACAGTATCTGGCATAACTGACTAGTAAATGTTAACCATTAGAACAGAACCAAGGGGTCCATGCTGTGGCATAGCAGGTAAAGCTGCCACTTGCAGTGCCAGTGTTCCAGGCTCCTGGCTCCTGGCTTTGGATCAGCCCAGCTCCAACTGTTGTGGTCATCTGGGGAGTGAGTCAGCAGATGGAAGGCCTCTCTCTCTCTCTCTCTCTCTCTCTCTCTGCTTCTTCCTCTCTGTAACTCTGCCTTTCAAATGATAATAAATAAATCTTAAAAAAAAAAAAAAGATGACTAACAACAGGGACCACACATGTAACCATGCAACAAGCCTTGGTTAAACTGTTGCCAAAATTGTTAAAAAAAATTTTTGTTAAAAAAATAAAAACAGAACCAAGGACAAGAGCTTTGTGTGTGATGTTTACTAGCATACTCTCAGCGCCTAAACCCACACCTAGCACACTGTAGGTGCTGAAAAATATTGTTGGATATGTAAGTATAAGCTTTCTGTTTTCTGTTAGGAACAACTGTACTTAATTCAGGCCAGAGGAGGCTTGGTAAGGTTGAATAGTAAGAGAGGTAAGGTTGAGCTGGGCTTTCAGAATCTAGCTTGAAGGAAGAAAAAGGAGATAATGGATACGGATACAACCACGCGAATTAACTGGGAACATTCAGAGGGCTGAGAAATAATCAATAGGTCAGTCTTGGGGACATTGGGATATAAGTTACAGTCTCAGAATTTCTGATGTTCTATCTCAGTATGAATCAAGTGATGGGAGAAAGAGATGGGTTGGGGTGTGCTCTTCCTTGCTTTCACCTGTCAACTGCTCCTGCCCATGGAATTAATACCAATGATTCCAATCTTTGGAATATCAAAGTTGGGAAGCATTCATGGGGTCAATGGAGTTAGGTCACTTAAAGACATCTAACTAACCAGGTAAGTGAAAAACTTGCCCATGAGAAAGTATCTTCACCAAAAGTCTTTAAACTGTACCTTATTAATTTTTGGAAAATAAATTGGGGTTTAACTATCTTTTTCAGTCTTGTCATTGTATGTACACAATTCCTTCAACAACTATAAAAATTTTACTTTTATTATCTCTTATGAAAAGGAGTTCTGATATAAATGAAATGATTGAAGTTCAAAAATCCACAAATTACCACTGACCAGAATATTTTAATATTTTATTCTTTTACTACATTTTGACTTTTCTTACATAATATTTTATAAATTAGTGTATTTATTCATTCATTATGCAGTACCTACTCTGTGTCAACCTCTCCCTCAGTAATCACAGAATCTAAAAAACTAAAACTAACCACAGATACCTACTATGTCCATCCTAGCACATACAATGTTATAGTAAACATTTATTTCAGCATTACAGAATAGCTTATTATGTTGCATAGAGATGACATTTAGCAAATAGATAGGGGTACTTCTGAAAGATCATGGAAAATAGGATTAAAGGATAAGTTTATTTTGTTAAAAAAATGTTGAGATCCACACATGGTTTTTTCATAATATGCATTTTCCATGAACTTTCAGAAGACCCTTTATATTTTTGAACTTACAGCTGAGAGGCATGGAGGAAGCTCCACTGTGGAAGCGAGTATCGTCAAATTCCCCCTTATATCCTAGAAAAGAAAACAGAAATGTATGTGAACTGATTCAGGGTAAATTGGCTTTTTAGCAATGGGAAGAAATTTTAAAACAACACTTCGAATGAAACGAATCCAGCAAACGTACTCTTTACCACAACAGATGCATATGCTGAGAGCTCTCCTTTAACATTCATCGCCGAGGCCCGGTACTGAGCCGTGTCCTCAAAATCGCATCTGAAAGAACATACAGAAGTAGATGGCCATCGCAGTGACGGACCTTGTACTCCTAGCAATTCTAGCAGGGAACTCTTTGCAAATCAGTGCCTAACACATGGCTCTTAGGGTCTTTCAATGAAGCTACTGTCTCGAATCCAGCTACCTGAACTACAAATATAGTCAAAGTGATCTACCACAAGTTCATGCCAGCAGCACAGGCATGGTAGGCCCTTGTGACCCTAACCTTTTTTATGTCAAAAAAGAAAAAGTCTACATAGTGCTAAGCACACGAATTACAGAGTAAGTGTTATGATAAGCATGTCTAAAGATGATTGGGAAGAGCAAATGCCTATTCATGTTCCTTTGAGCAGGTAACTACCTGCAGGCACACTGGAGTGTACATCACATCTCTGTCCTTGGGGAGTCTCAGTCCAGGGGCAATGGGGTGACCAGGAAGCAAAAGAAACAAGTGTGGCAGAGCCTGCCCTGAGCCACATTTGTCTTATGTATGGTTGATGGTTCTGTGTTCTCATTTCACAGTACAAATAAGTTACTCATGTTTCAATTCTACTAAGATTCAGGCTACATTTGCAGTTTCAGCCCATAGGACTCTATAAGAAGAGCCACTTGGATGTTCCTCTAAGTTGTAATACAAAAATATGCAATGTCATAAAAATAGAACTAGGGAGAGAATGATCTCACAGAGAGATGAACAGGCTGATTTCAGAGCAGGTTGTTTTGTGTTTTATCATACCAGTTCCCTGTGTTCATGGTTCCTCATGGTTTTGTTTCATTTGTAATAATTTTTTTTTCTTGCTGAAAATTTACAGACATCATTAGAACCCCAAGAAGGCAAATACTGTTGCCTTTCTCATACCTGTTTGGCTTTGAAAGCAATTACACAGCCCATGGCTGCCTCAGTAGAACCACCCACTGGCAGAAGTGCTGTGACTGAAGGTCAAGCTCAGTGCTTAGTGAATGTCGCAGGAACCAGGGTTCCGTTTGAAGCCTGTCTCTTGTGCCAGTACCTCCTATCTGTACAGAAGCTTATAAACTTTAAGAGAATGGAATGATGTAAATTTCTTTCTGATATTTCAGCCTGCCTATGTGTGACTTGAACTGAAAATGGAGGGAGCGTGTTTAATTTTTTATCCACATAACTAGGTCTGTATTTTTTTTTTTTTTTTTTTGACAGGCAGAGTGGATAGTGAGAGAGAGAGACAGAGAGAAAGGTCTTCCTTTTGCCATTCGTTCACCCTCCAATGGCCGCCACGGCCGGCACGCTGTGGCCGGCGCACCGTGCTGATCTGATGGCAGGAGCCAGGTACTTATCCTGGTCTCCCATGGGGCGCAGGGCCCAAGCACTTGGGCCATCCTCCACTGCACTCCCTGACCACAGCAGAGAGCTGGCCTGGAAGAGGGGCAGAATCCGGCACCCCGACCGGGACTAGAACCCAGTGTGCAGGCGCCACAAGGCGGAGGATTAGCCTAGTAAGCCGCGTCGCCGGCTGTATTTCAAAAACCATCTTGGGAGACAGGCTAAACCTTTGAGGACTTGAAAATGATGACGTGGGTTCCCTTTTTAAATTTTGCTTTGGATTTTGCTCTACCTAAAACATTCCGCTCTCCATCCCTGCCATGTATACACATGCAGACTGACAAGGCACCTAGTTTTCGTTAGTTCTTAGTGAGCTGTAGAGAACCATATCTCCAAGTCTAGTCTGCTTCCAAGGCTGCCCACTCTGATCCACCTGAATAGAAATTCCTATTTATGGAACTTATTTTCTTACTAATGCCCAAGAAAAATTCTCAAGTATATAAAATGATAAGTAAAAAGGTACAGACTAATTTTTCTCATCATCTTTGATTAAATTCAAATATGAAATCACTATGGGAAGCGGTATGCACATGTTAAGGATCAGCCATGAATATTACTTGTAGGTGTGCACCAAGCTCTCCAAGAGAATAAACGTGTACAAACGCTGTTCATTATGATCATGCTGCCTTGGGACTAATCAAGTCAGTGGCCATTAACCGGAGAGGTGAAGGACCTCCCTGATCAAATGCTGGGCAACTCAGGAACATTGATATTCTCTTACTCGTTAATCACCAGAGTGTGCATTCCATATCGACTTTCAATAATATACTTCCCAGGGTTGGCATGGACATCTATTGGCACTTGGTTTTTATACCTAGAAGACAATGAAAACAAGATGAAGCAGGCTGGAGTGGAAATAACTTCATGATTAAATATATACCCACAAAATTCTTGTTCTTGCAGGAACACCTTCTATAAACAGGCATTAAGGGTTAGTAGCAGCACCTATCAAGTAAATGCAAATTAGATGAGCTTAAGTTATTAAATGCACCAGCAATATAAAGCTCCCTGATGAAGTGCTTTGTCCTCCTCTGTAAAATATACATAGAAAAATTCACCATCCACAGCAATATGGATGAATCTGTTAGGGAAAAAGAAAAGCCAGTTTTAAAAGAATACATAGTTTGATTGCTTTTATATGAAGTACAAAAATAGAAAGGCTAATTAGTACTGCTAGAAGTCAGGATAGCAATTTCTTGGAGTAGGGTGGGGAAGGCATAAAGGAGGTTTCTTGGGCAATGATGCTGTTTGGTTTCTTGATTTGGGTGCCAGTTACATGGATGTACACAGTCTATGAGAATCATCAAAGTCCTACGTATATATTTAATATGCACTTTTTTGCGTCGATACTATACTTCAATAAACAAACAAAAAAGTGCTGATCATGGGTTGCCATGACAGAGAAGTCGTCTTTGTGGGGGAGGTTATTGCTAGCTGTACAGAATGAAAGCAAAACATTCTTCCTGTTAATTTTCTTGTAGATTGCTAACAACAATGACATTTTACAGAAAGATAATTTTGTTTCAGTGTTTTATTCTCTGTCCTAAGAAAATGGCTCTTAGCTTGGAAGAATTTAAAAAGCATAAAAGGAAAAGGAATAAAACTTGTGGCAAATTTAAAAGCTTCTTCTCAGAGGGTGAGAACATGGAGGGCCACTCCCTGAGACACCAGCTTCCACATCTGGTTTTGTCCCACATCCTCATGTTCTCAATAGCCAGAGGTTACCACACCAGCCCAGACTTTTCTACTTAAACCATTTTCTGCTCCAAAGAGGAGCCGAGTTTAGCTTGTTTCCCTTGCAGACACTCCACTTTGTACCCACGGATAACAAAAATAACACAGCCATAACGATACAAAGAATTCACCATGTGCCCGGCAATGTTCTGCTTTATGTATATCTAGGTACACTCAGTCCTCACAATCTCCCTATGTGGTTGGACTCTCTTTAAACCCCATTGCCAAATGAAGAAACCAAAGCATAGAACAGTTAAAGAACCTGCCCAGGTCTACACAGGTCTGAAAAGGGCAGAACTTGTAGTTGAATCCAGTCTGACTTCTGATCCACGTGATGCTTCCATTTTCCAGTTGTTCTCTAGGTAGCTGCATTTCATTCCTTTGGATGTTTGGAAATTATTAGAAGGTATAGAAGTACGGGGAAGTGTTAGTAAAGGAGAGATTTCTGTCCCATCTCTCTCTTTCATGTTCTCTCTCTCTCTCTTTTTCTCTCTCTCACACATACACACACACCACCACCACCACCACCACACCTTATTTGGGGCTAGTGGTTTGGTACAGTGGGTTAAGCCACTGCTTATAATGCTAGCAACCCATATTGGAGTTCTGGTTGGAGTCCTGGCTGCTCTCTTCTGATCCAGCTCCTTGCTAATCATGCCTGGGAAAGCACTGGAGGATGGCCCAAGTACTTGGGCCATTGACATCCATCTGGGAGGCCCAGATGGAGTTCTAGCACCCTGGCTTTGGGTTGGTCTAGCCCCTGTCTATTGAGGCCACTTGAGGACTGAACCAGTGGACAGACAATCCCCTCTCTCTCTCTCTCTCTCAAATAAATAAATAAATAAAACTTTAAAAAATTATTTATTTTATTTATTTGAAAAGCACAGTTACAGAGAGGCAGGAGAGTGAGGGAGAGGGAGAGGGAGAGGGAGAGGGAGAGGGAGAGGGAGAGGGAGAGGGAGAGGGAGAGGGAGAGGGAGAGGGAGAGGGAGAGGGGGAGGGAGAGAGTCTTCCATCTGCTGGTTCACTCCGCAAATGGCCACAATGGCCAGAGCTGGGCCAGGCCAAAGCCAGGAGCCAGGAGCTTCTTCTGGATCTCCCATGTGGGTGTAGGGGCTCAAGGACTTGGCCCATCTTCTAATGCTTTTCCAGGCACATTAGCAGGGAACTGTATTAGAAGTGAGACCCAGGACCCATATGGGATGCTGGCACTACAGGCAACGGCTTTACTGGCTATGCCACAGCACCAGCCCCAAAATAAATCCTTTTTTAAAAAGCAAGTTATTCACTCTCTACACCTTTTTTTTTTAAATGCATCAGTCTCCTTCTTCACCTGGCAAAATTAATACATCCTTCAAAATTCAGATCAAATACCATGTCTTCAATAAACTCTTCCCTAAAAAGTTCACCAAATATGAATTGTCCCTACCTATTTGCATATGGTTACTTGGTTAAAATAGCTAAATAAAACACACTTATCAATTTACAGTTGGAATGGTATCTCTTCTACTAAGTTTCTAGTCCCTTGAAGATGAGGATGGTGTCTGATCCATGTTTACTTTTACTACCATTCATGAAGGATGAATCATGAACAAATATGAGGAACTCAGTGTTGATTAAATTTGAACAGAATTTTATTGTCTAATGCCATAGATGAACTATAGAGTCATAATTTTTTTAACTGAAGGAAAGAAGTTCTGGCAAATATATAGTTCATAAAATGTACTATCCAATTAAGTGCACACGTAAAAGTGAGTTGAGACTCTTTGCTTCTTGATTCCCTCAGATGTAAAGTAAAGAGGGTTGGATTAGCACAAGAATCACAGCTGTGTGGTAGGCATAGTGGCATTACTCCCCCACTCCACCCCGCCACCCAGAAGACACTGCTAGTTGATACGATCTTGTCTGTTGCCAACCCACAAGTGGACTCAAACAGCTGTCGCAAACCAGGGCTCTATGCAGACAGCACTATTTGATCCGACACAGCCTGCTGGCCCTTCCTAAGCCTGAACATTCCCCATTTTGATAAATAGTAGGGTAGAATTTGTTAACTGGCAAGTTCTTCTTAGTAATTGATTTAGATCATTTCACACCTAGAAGCTCCCTCTTGCTCTGTGTTTCACGTGCTAGAGGGTTTTCAGCAGTTCTCCTAGTATAAGAAGAGCCAAGATGATACTAAAGAATATGGCTTGTGCTGCTTCTCCAAACCACTCGGTGCAACTCCATTTGGCTTGTGATCAAAAATGTTGTTCATATCCCCATAAAGTTTGAGTTAAAACAGTATCTGCAGCTCCCACGATTGCTTCATGCTGCCTGCCTTCCAGTACTACCAACTTAGCACCTTGATACCTTTTCCCCAGCTGACGATGCAAGACTTCTCTAATATGACCTCCTGGCAAAGGAAACCAGCTTATAATACACAACACTTCAACTGTGGCGTTTCTAGTCTTTCCTCTGGAACTCCAGATGTCAGTGTCAGAAATTCCTGTTTGAAGCAGTGGACAGGATTAAGCTGGAAAGTGATTTAATTCTATTCTCCAAGGAATTTCACCTAGTAAGGCATCGAGATTTGGGGTTGGGGGGGGGTCACTTAAGATTGGCTGCTGTCTGTAATTTTCTCAGTAATTTTATATTACAGAAGAAAAGAAGCATTTCTGATTTGCTGTGCATACACTTCACAGCTTGTCATTTCTGGAAAGTGAAATTCCAAACTGCCTAGTCATCAGCTAATTTTGGAGTGTAATCTATACCCTGGGATTATTTGTCAAAGGATTTCTTAAACCCTTGTGAATATTTAGAGGTGTTTCATTCCCCTTACCATTTTCATGTATGAGGATTTATCAAAAGTTTCATGGAAAATGGAATTAAAAGATAAGTTTATCTTGGTGCAAAACATTTTTCTTAAATCCAGCAGTTTTTTCTTAATACTCATTTTCCACAAAACTTTTAAAGACCCTTCATAAAGTCCATGAACTTTTAGCTAATGAGCTTTGAGCATTCTATCATTTTTAGAACAACATTCTGCCACCCAATGACTTTTCATTTCTGTGTGTAAAATGTACACTGAATTCTTCCATAGAAGTGTCAGTTTAGATGTGCTGATTTTGACAAAAAGGGTTATAGTGAAAGCTCATTGGTGCCATTTGCCTAAAATATAGCCAAGCCCCCTCCAAAAAATTTACAATATTTTTACTGTCAACAAATAGTGCTTGTCAAATGATGTGTGACATGTTGAATCTCATCACAAATTGGACTGCTAATTAGAACTCAATCTTATCTTTTAAATGAATTAAGGACTTTTAAATGAATTAAGGACTTTAAAAGTCAATTATCTGACAGAGATATACCCCTTATGACAGATTTTTAGACTTCAATAAATAAGAAAAATCTAAAATAAAACCTCATATCCTTATGTTGGGAAATAATTCTAAATTGTAAATAATTTTTATTGACTATTTTAAGTATAAACTGTTCCCCAAGACAATACAGTAGTAACTACTACCTCCTTTGAGGCTAGTCAGGCTCTGATCATTGTGAGAAATAACAGAAAGGAAAGGAGAAGAAGGTAACCATTCTGCTGGTGACGGTGACATTCATGTAGTGTTTATACCCCCCGTGATGTAGAGCACATTTTTATCCTCTCATGCAAAAGGAAACAACATACGAAATATATGCATCAATCACTGGCTCAAGTAGTCTCATTCTTTGCTCTCTGTGGCAGATACTGATGACATAAGATGGGAAAATACTGAGTTTTATGATCAGAAGGGCATTAACAATTGCAATAGGAAAAACAGTGGAAGGAGACAAGAAGTACTTACTCTTTATGGAAGGAAAACCTCTTATGGCCTCATATTAGATAATATCTCCTAATTTTCTCTCTTTTATAAAACATCAGTTAATATTGACTTAGTGCCATTCATTCATTCTTTTTTTTAATGTATTTGAGAGGCAAAGAAAAAGAGAGTCTGCTCCCATACTCTGGTTCACTTCTCAAATGCCAGCAACAATCAAGTCTGGAGGAAGGAAAACCCAAGAGTCTAAGGGTGACCACTGTGGCATGGCAGTTAAAGCCCCCGCCTGTAGTGCCAGCATCCCATTTGGGCACTGGTTTAAGTCCCAGCTGCTCTACTTCCCATCCATCTCTCTGCTATGGCCTCGGAAAGCAGCAGAAGATGGTCCAAGTGCATAGATCCCTGCACCTGCATGGGAGAGCTGGAAGAGGCTCCTGGCTCCTGATTTTGGATTGTTACAGCTCGAGCCATTGGTGCCCCTTTGGGGAGTGAACCGGTGGATAGAAGACCTCTCTCTCTCTCTCTCTCTCTCTCTGCCTCTCTGTAACTCTATCTTTCAAATGAATAAATAAATAAATAAAAGCCAGGAGTCTAGAAATCAATTCAGGTCTCCCATGTGAGTGACATAAGCCCAGTCACTTGTGCCACCATCACTGTTTCTCAGGGTCTGCATTAATAGAGCGAGGTTTTGAACCCAGGTTGTCTGATGTGGCATATGCGTGTCTTAAGTGCTAGACTAAATGCTTGCCCCCAGTTCTCTCTTGTTTCATGTTAGAAAGCACTTTGAAGCTTCAGCTCACAGGATGCGTAGAATTGCTTCTAATCACAAAGTCCTACTATATTAAAAAGTGTATCAATGGAAGCAAATTTTTATTTAGTTTTTATGGTCCATAATAGTTAATAGATATTTTTAGTGACTAAAATTTAATACTTTATATAAAACAAAGAACCATTTGTATAACAGGATTATAAAATAATATGATGTGTCATCTGTATATGAGAGTCTTTTCTTCCCATACATAAAAATTCATCCCAGTATCATTTCCTCACTCTTTCAAAAGCCAACACAAACTTGTTGATACCTTCCTTGACTCTCATATAAAGATACCAGCATATGGTTTCACTTAACTTTGTGTAACTGATTCCATTAGTTTTCATAAAGATACCATACCATGTGAGACGCGGTTCTGGCCAGCCTATTACAGAGCAGTGTAATTTTACATTCTCTTTCTCCCAAACGGTGTGGGAACGAGGCTTAATGGTAAAGTCAGGAGCATGGAGAAGATGGTCTTCATTCAACTTTCCATGATAGGCCTCAGTTTCTTCTAACTGAATAAACAAACAAACACATTATCAAAATACTGGTAATCAAAGTAACTTCTCTGCTAAAATAATGAGACAAGCCAAAAATATTTTTTTATTTGGAAACTTTTACCTTTAGATAAAAATACATTCATCTTGCCCTTTATAAAGATGTAATAATTTAACATTCTAAGCTTGAACAACAAAAAATTTACCCCCCTAAGGTAGGTTTCTTAAGGTTCTCTAGAATCTTAATTTCTTTAAATTTTAAAATTTCACAGAGTTTAAATTAAGTTTGCCTTTCTTTGACCTATACGGGGCCAACACTGTGGTGTAGTGGGTAAGGCTGCCGCCTACAATGCCAGCATCCCATATGGTGCCAGTTTGAGTCCCGGCTGCTCCATTTCTGATCCAGCTCTCTGCTATGGCCTGGGAAAACATGGAAGATGGACCGGGTGCTTGGGCCCCTGCACCCACGTGGGAGACTTGGAGGAAGCTCCTGGCTCCTGATTGACCCAGCTCCAGCCACAGCCATTTGTGAGGTGGACCAGTGGATGGAAGCTCTCTCTCTCTCTCTCTCTCTCTCTGTCTCTTTCTCTTTCTTACTCTGCCTTTCAAATACATATCTAAATATTTTAAAATTTTATTTAAATTTTGTATTTGTTTATTTTTTATTTGAAAAAGAGAGACAGAAGAAGAGAGAGACGGACAGACATCATTTACCATCCACAATCCATAACAGCCAGGACTGGATTAGGCTGAAGCCAAGGAGTCAAACAGTTCAAGTCTTCCATGTGGGTGTCAGGGACCCAATGGCTTGAAGCATCACCATTGTCTCCCAGAGTCTGAATTAGCAGAAAGCTGGAGTCAGGAGCCAGGGCAGGTGCTCTGACGTGATACAGGGGCATCCTAATTAGCATCATAACTCTAAGCTAAATAAATGCCCACCCTGACCTATGCATTTTAATGTCTTTCTCCTTGCTTTAGTTTTGTTTCTCCACAAGGCCACCTACTTCTTCATTTTAAATAAATCAATCTATATCTATCCACACAGAGCTTCTCTATGCATTTCTGCTTCTGTAAGTTATACTCAATAGTCTTTTCTTACTGTTTTTTTCAGCGACAGGCGTTCTGCTTTTTCTCGTATTGCAACTTTCCTTGACTTTTTTTGAAAAGTTTCTTCTTCTTGAAGCGTGGAGGTGGCCTGTTTGGATATCACAGACTGTTTGGACGCTGCAGACTGTTTGGAGGATGTGATTCCTTCCTCACTGGCAAGAAGATTCCTCTGGGCTATATAAGCTGCAGCTTCTTTAATTCTCTCTTCTTCTGTATCTGCGATTCCACTGACGTGCATTTGACTAAAACACAATGATAGAAAATGTGGATATTTGGATGGGCAGTGATAACACTCCTAACTTTACTAAACTCAAAGTACCAGACCCCAGACACTGTCCTGTGCCCAAAGAAAACCTGGTAAATCAGAATACATACAGAAGTCGATCAGTCCCTTAACAAATAATGATAATGACAATAATAACACCTATTAAGGCCCCAGTGCTTTTCACATACATTCTTTTTATCCTCACAAAAAACCTTAGGAGGTACACAAAATGTTTGTGTTTTAAATAGATGGTCAGAGAAGCCAGAGAAGCCTAAGGCTCAGAGTAGCCAGATAACTTGCCCAAGTTTGTTACAATGGTTGCCTTAGTGTGTTTAAGTGTGATTTAGTTGAAAATAAAAGATGAAATATTGCCTTCCTTTTTCGGGAAAGAGGACATAAAATGAAATATAGTTTGTGTGCCTGTGGTGCTGACACACAATTATGTGCTTGATATGGATTCTATGACACAGCTGATGGAATGCATTGCCCAGAGCTATTCATGTATAAATATGTTCTAAATTTAGATGAAATCTTTATGTCTCCTGGGTTACTTTTTAAGATAGTAAAGGCTGTGTGTATATATAATATGGGTCACTGTATTCATTATGACAATTTTCATTCATATTTGCCCACTGCTCTGATGAGAAGAAATGATCAAACTTGCAATTGAGGTGGTGATATTTATAGAAGTGACTTGTTTCTATTCTTAATCTCTGAAGATGGCAAGTGAATCGTAATATCCAAAAGTGCTGTGCCTAGCACAGTAATTTATGATAGAATCTGTGTGGTGATTCATTAATGTTGATAAAATACTTGGATTATTTAACTTCTTTTAATGCCTTTGTTTGAAATCATGCTAGGGGGCCAGCGCTGTGGTACAGTGGTTGGGGCTGCTGCCTGCATTGCCAGCATCCCATATGGGCACTGGTTCAGGTCCTAGTTGTTCCACTTTTTTTTTTTTTTTGGACAGGCAGAGTGGACAGTGAGAGAGAGAGACAGAGAGAAAGGTCTTCCTTTGCCGTTGGTTTACCCTCCAATGGCCGCCGCGGCCGGCGCGCTGCGGCCGGCGCACTGCGCTGATCCGATGGCAGGAGCCAGGTGCTTCTCCTGGTCTCCCATGGGGTGCAGGGCCCAAGCACCTGGGCCATCCTCCACTGCACTCCCGGGCCACAGCAGAGAGCTGGCCTGGAAGAGGGGCAACCGGGACAGAATCCGGCGCCCCGACCGGGACTAGAACCCGGTGTGCCGGCGCCGCTAGGCGGAGGATTAGCCTAGTGAGCCGCGGATCCGGCCTAGTTGTTCCACTTCTGATCCAGGCTCTGCTATGGCCAGGGAAAGCAGTGGAATTTGGCCCAAGTTCTTGGGTCCTTGCACCTGCATGGAGACCTGGAGGAGGCTCCTGGCTCCTGGCTCCTGGTTTTCGATCTGCTCAGCTCCGGCCATTGTGGCCATTTGGGGAGTGAACCATAGGATGGAGAATCTCTCTCTCTCTCACTCTCTCTCTCTCTGCCTCTGCCTCTCTGTTAACTATGCCTTTCGAATTAATAAATCTTTATAAAAATACAAAGAAATTATGCTGGAAGTTCAGTGAGAGAGTATATTTACAATACTGAAGATTCCTTTAAATTGAGTCTCCTTAGATCTAAGTCAGAATTGCGTACTTGATTTTTCAAAATTTAAGAAAATACTGTCATTCTGTTTGCAAGTTACTACCACCTAAATCTATACAGTTTTCTAAGGAATAGAATTCCACATCTGCCTAGGTTTAAAATTTCTATGGAATACTAACATCTGTAGACAAAATTTTGTTTCTGACAAAACTTATTGAATTATAACTTTTTCTCTGTATCTCCAAGTATATACTATGGAAGTTAGTGATACTAATTTATACACTCTAATTTGATGGGGTGGCAGTGGGGGGAGATGGAATATTTTTAGCTTAGGATCCTAACATAAATCCTCTCATCTTTTAAAAATGAGACAGAAAGTAAATTAATTAAAAAGCAAATACAAAACAAACCATCAGGATAATTTGCTAGAACTCTCCATATAAATGAATACACAATAGAAGGTTTGAAATGAGTTTTGTAACATGATTCAGTCTGTATAATAAAGGATACTTTGGTCCTGGCTAAGACAACAACTCTAGATGAGTGAACTTTAAGCTCTCATTATCTCTAACAGTAGACATGTTGGCATAGCTCAGATAGCAAAATAAAGAAGCGAATGAACTAAATCTTGTAAAACAGTAATTATTTCACATGAGAACTGAAATATATTCTGGACCCAGGACAATAGGGATATTTTCTTTTATGTAAATATAAGGATTTTTTGGTGAGGATAAATGAATATATGTGAAAAGTACTAGGGCCTTAATACATATTGTTATTGTCATCATTATTATTATTGTTATTTGTTCAGGTGACAATAACATCTAAAATCTGGACACAAGGGCAAGAATACAATACTAACATGTTATTACCAAGTAAATATAAATTTAAAACTTCCGAAAACTCTGCCTATCTCTGACAGTCTCAACTTGAAACCTGTTGCTGACACAAAGTTAACTCAGCTTATTGGAGTTTAAGAAGTGAGATCTTCAGGTGTCATGCAGAATAAATGGTATTTTTTGTAATATAATATAATTGCAAAGGACATACACACTGCATTGGCCAGTCCTAAATGGGACTTCCAGCTTTTTCATTACTAGCTATGTGACTCTCACAAGTCATTCAGCCTTGTTTTCCTTATAGAAAACTTGATATACCAATACCTCTCCAGGGTAGTATGGAAGATTTTGCAACTGTTTAGACAAACCAGCTAGTTTGAGTCTCAGAAAATGACAGGTACTCAACAAATGTTCATTTCTTTCCCATTTTTTCTCAGATTGTGAATAACGTCAACATCATTGTGAAATGTTATTTTCAACATAGGAATAGAATATAAGAGAAGTAGCCATATTAAACCCAAAAGAGAATCTGAAAAAAAAAAAAAATTCAAACATCAATTTTTATTCAGTCCCAGTTGCACCTTTTTCTTCTTTTCACAGTTTATTTTGTAAATTATCATTCCTTGAGATTGGCCCAGAGAAGATAAGACAGTTTGGTGGGGAAAGAGTAGGTAGAAGACATTTAGAACTTGAAGTTTTATTTTGTGCCCACGCAGGTAGAGAGGCATGGTGTGCAAGCTGACACTTAACTGGTGTTTTTAAAATTATTTTTCTAAACAGAGTGGGGAATAAAAGCAAAAGACAAAATATTTTACTTATTTAGCTTAGTCAAGTCTTATGAATGAATATAAATCTATATTGCACTATTGTGAAGAGGCTAAGTCCGCACAAATATATTTAACAATATAAGCAAGTTTCTCTGGAAAATTCCTTTAAAAAGTCAGGCATATCAAATACAGACGATGAAAAGCTAAAAATAAAATATTATTTATAGCCTTCAGAGTAATTATGCCTTTTAGCAATGGAAAGAAAAACTTAGGCAACAGAATTAAGTCACCAAAGATCACAAACAATTTCCTGACTTTCAGTGAGGATCTCTTTTCCATGACTTATGCCCTGAAAGGATGACCTCAATTTGAATGCCCCTTAGCTATGGAAAAATCTGTCTTTTCAAAGGAAAATAAATGTTTATAAAATGAAGATAAAAAAACTAGTATTACATACACTTGTAATTTAGTGATTACAACAGTCTATTTTCCATTGAACAAATATAGGAGACACATTCAAATTCTGACTAGATTTTTTTATCTAATTAACAATAATTGTAACCACACTGACAACTAAGATCTTTTCCACCTATGTAAACATACCCAGTATTTTACTGTTTTGAATCTTTTTCTTTTTATAGTGATAAATCTCTCATGACTATATAGTGTTCAGTCACTAGCATTCAAGGCTCTACTTTTCTTTTCAATTAGTTTCATATGTAGTACTAAGTTCTAACCATTCTCTTTTGTTCTATAGTCATTCTATGTAATGGTAAAGATTTCTGAAAAGGAAATTCTTTTTAACAGTTAATACATATGAGGGTACTTCAAAAAGCCTGTGTAAAAAAATGGAGTTAAAATGTAAGTTTATTTTGGTACAAAAAAATTCAAATCCATGAATAGTTTTTGTAAAATGCATTTTCAGCAAGCTTTTAAAAAACTTCCCATACCTCTCAGTACAAGGTTCAAAACTTCTTTAGAACTTTCTCAAGTACTGAGAGAGAGAATGTCTGTCTGTCTGTGTGTGTGTACACATAGCGGATGTTCGATAAACGTTAGCTGCTAACATTGTTGTTGTTGTTATCATCTTGACAACATTTACCCCCACTTTCTAACAATCAAGGCCCGAAGAGAAAGCATACGCACCGTCCTGAGAAAATGGGCACCATGTAGTCACTTGGCAGGTTCTCTTTTTCTTCTCCAGACAGAAGGCTGTGCCTGGCTCTCTTTGTTTTGGGGCTCAACTTAGATGAATAATCTTCTAACAGCAGACTAGAATCTGTAAGACTGAAATAAAACCCCTAACATTAGGCAAATAAAGAAAATGCACTTAAGATATTCAAAATACTGATAATAAAATCTGTGGGGTTTTTTTTAAAGATTTATTTATTTATTCGAAGGGCACAGTTACAGACAGAAAGGGGAGACATGGAGAGAGATTGTCCATCAGCTGGTTCATTCCCCAGATGGCCACAATGGCTGGGGCTGGGCCAGGCCAAAGCCACCAGCCTGGAATTGCATCCAGTTCTTCCACATGGGTGCAGGGGCCCAAGTACTTAGGCCACCTTCTGTTGCTTTCCCGTGTGCATTAGCAGGGAACTCGACTGGAAGTGGAGCAGCTGAGACTTAAACCAGTGTACACATGGGATACCAGTGTTGCAGATGGAGAGTTAACCCACTGCACAACAATGCTGGCCCCTAAAAGAAAATTTTAACTTGGGAGAGTTTTCACAGAATCTTAGTTGAGTATCTTTTATTAGAAACACCTGGGACCATAATGTTTCAGATTTTGGGGTTTTGGGGATTTGAGAATATTTACACTGACTTTACTGGCTAATCATTCCTAATCCAAAAAATCTAAGATCTGGACCTCAAATAATGTACATTATATGGACTACAAAGGAAAAACAATCTAACAGTGATTACCTGGCTTTTTCCTCTTTAAAGTTTCAGGGAAAAGAGCAATGCTTTTATAATAAATCCAATTACCTCTGCTGTTAAGGTAATGTTTGAAATTTAGGCAGTTTATATAAAATTGATACATTGTGTATCCAAATCCATTTGAAAGGGAATTACTAAAAATGTACTCTTTTTTGGAGTGGGAACCCAGGTGATTCTGAGGCAGAACCCCAGATCTTCTCTCTGGGGAGAGCCAACATGTGAACAGTACAAAATGTACATATAATAGTGCAAGAAAACAAGTAGCACAGAACTGTAAGGGCTTCAAGGAAGTGCAGAGGGCACAGTGGCTCCACGTCTGGGGATGCAGGGTGGGCCAGTGCCTTTAATTCTCTGGAGTTGTCACCTGGAGTGGCCAAATTTTTCTTCCCCCTACCATGCTGCCCCTTTTCCCAGAGGGAATAGCTAGCTCTTTTTCTATAATCAGCATTAAAACTAAAGGTTAGCACCTTGAATTCGAGCTTGTGGATTGGTTACCAATTGGAAGCCAGAGTGAAATTTGTTCCTGGCTGGCTGCTCCAGGCAGTAGCAAAATGACTACAGTTCACAAAGTACAGGCTGTGCTTATACAGGCCTAAGCTTACAGAGGTATGTATTTCCCTTCACCCTTTATTACTAGATAAAATCAAATTAACTATGAGGCTTATATATTTCATTTCTTTCTATTTCTAGAACAGATTTTCAAATTTCTCTACTGCTTTTCTGCTTTGCTCTTTTCTCTTTACATCCATTCTAGTATCTACAGTCATATTCTCATGAGCTCATATTTTTCAATATTAATTTATATCAACATAGTTATGATTTGTCATTTTAGTTGTTCTGTTGCTTCTTATTCTGTTATTTCTTTCCTGTAAGGTGAATCATTAAAATAATGCATCTATTAAAAAGATTGTGTCAGATGTAATTATTCCATTCTTATAGGTAAATCAGAGCATCTGAAAATAGTTGAACTTGATGCTAATGAGTCAAGGTACAATCACCAGCTTTCATTTCACATTTCATCTGGAACAAAAGAGGCAATAAAAAGCACTATGACATGTATTATATAGTATTTAGAAAACACAAGATCTCCCCCTGTGTTGTGCCCTCTGAAGATGTTTTATAAGCTTTTTTTGGGGAGGTGGGTACCTGGAGAGGGACGTAAATCCTCAACCTTTTGGAGAGAATGATCCTGCGGGGGAAACAGGACACACAGCAGACTCATAGAATGGCAGCACTCCTGCCTCAGAATCAACCCTTGGGACATTCGGATCTGGCTAAAAGGTCCATGAGAGTCTCACAGGCATGGAAAGCCATGACACGGTGGCAAAAAACAATCTAAATGAAAGATCCTGGTGAACAAGACCCCAGCAGAAGGAACAGGCCATCAAGGAGAGAGGCACCTTTCTCTGAAGGGAGGAAGGAACCTCCACTGTGATACGGCCTTGACTAAACAAATTCAGAGTCGGTGAACTCAAGGGGCTTCCATAACCTAGACAGCTCATAGCAAGAGTCTCGGGTGATTGCTGACATCATAAATAAGAGTGCCAATTGTTAAATCAACAACGGGAGTCACTGGGTACATGCTCCCCACGTAGGATCTCTGTCCTTAATGTGTTTTACTATGAAACTTAAAAACAACACTACTAGTCGAACAATACCCTATACCTTGTGCGGTTGTGTGAGTACAGCCTGTTGAAATTCTTGCTTAGTATATACTAAGTTGATCTTCAGTATATGAAGGTAATTGAAAATGAAACTCGATGAAGGGCGGGATGGGAGAGGGAGTGGGAGAGGGGAGGGCCACGGGAGTGAGGGAGGTTGGGGGGGGGAGCCACAACAATACAAAAGTTGCACTTTGTAAATTCACATTTATTAAATAAAAAAATAACTATATAACAAACAAAAAAAAAGAAAAAATAACAATACTTTACCCTTTTAGTATTTTTTATGTTCTACTTAAAACTATTGGTTGAACTCTGTAATTAATACACAATTACTCTTAGGTGTTTAATTAATGCTATAACTAGTACTCAAATAGTATTTTACACTTTGTGTTTCCGTGTGGGTGCAAACTGTTGAAATCTTTACTTTACTTAATATATGCTAAATTGATCTTCAGTATATAAAGATAATTGAAAATTAATCTTGATGTGAATGGGAGGGGAGAGGGAGTTAGAGAGGGGAGTGTTGTGGGTGGGAGGGAAGTTATGGGGGGGGAGCTATTGTAATCCATAAGCTGTACTTTGGAAATTTATGTTCATTAAATAAAATAAAATAAAAATTTAAAAAATCCTCAACCTTTTGATTTTTTGATAAAAAAGAATTCACAAAGGACTAAACATTACAATACCATGCAAATAGATGATTTAGTAACACTCGGTCATTTATTGAGGCTGGTAAACAAATCTAAATCAGAGAAAATTTAAGGAACCACCTATGTAATGATCAGTATAATGATTTGAAGAACAACCATCACTAGTCTGTTTTGATATGATTCACTTATACTTAAGTCTAATATACTCTATTAAATCTTAAAGTTGAAAAGTGTTTTAAAGGATTTAAATAAAATATGCAGATTTTAAATTTCTTTTAACTTAAATTGAGGCTTACTGATCTCTTGAGCTTTTAGTTGTATCTAACTGTTGAAAATCATCTTCTAGTTACTCAGCTTCTGAGTAGATACTAAACATGATACATTTGAATCTGTGTAGGTCTTTTATGTACTGAGCTTAAATACTGAAGCTTCATGAATTTTGACTGATGAAGTACATCAGTGTAATTGAGGTAAGGATTGACTGTGTGTGCATGCAAGCAGCTATGTGTCTGTGTTTGTATCTAGGTACATCTTTTTATATTCTGCTACTAATTGTACTATGTCCCGTGTTAATATGTCTACAGTTAGCACACTTAAAATAAACATCTTCTAGTGAAGACATTATAACGTCTATGACTAGCAGCACAGAGAAGGGATAGCCAAGGTACAGAAAGCCTCTCTGGAAATATTCATTAACTCAGAAACTGGCTTATACCCACATATAATTCACATACTGAACAGAAAAAATTATAACCCTGTGCTCATAGAACTTTATAATAATTCTTGACAGGAAAAGAAAGAACAACACTATTTGCAGGGGTGCACACTGTGGCACAGGAGGTTGGGCTGCCACTTGGAATGCTTGCATCCATATCAGAGTGCCAGGTTCGAGCTCTGGCCACTCTGCGCTTCTGATCCAGCTTCCTGTTAATGCTCCTGGGAGGAGGACTCAAGTATCTGGGCTCCTGCCATCCATGTGGGAGACCCAGATGGAGTTCCTGACTCCTGGCTCTGACCCCTTTGGCCTGGCCTAGCCCCAGCTGTTGTGGGCATTTGGGGAATGAATCAGCAGATGGAAGATTTCCCATCCCTGCCATGTCACTCTGCCTTTCAAATAAATATATCTTTTTAAAACTTACAAAAGCTCAGACCAAGATGACAGGAATATTTACGCAGGGCTCTCATTTTACAGATGTGAAGCCTGAACCTAGAAACTGGCTGACCATCATCTTGATGGTCAGGTTAGTGTTCTTTCTACTATACCAGATGTTTCCAACTTTTATGACTGAGTACTCTCAATCGAAAAATGTTAGTCATGCCACCTACAAGGGGTCTTCAAACAGTTCATGAAAACAAAGATTGCATAGTGTGATCCCCAGGAAATTCTGTTTACAAATGTGAATAGGGGCCGGCGCTGCGGCTCACTAGGCTAATCCTCCGCCTGCGGCGCCGGCACACCAGATTCTGTCCCAGTTGCCCCTCTTCCAGTCCAGCTCTCTGCTGTGGCCCGGGAGTGCAGTGGAGGATGGCCCAAGTGCTTGGGCCCTGCACCCACATGGGAGACCAGGAGAAGCACCTGGCTCCTGGCTTCGGAGCAGCGCAGCGTCGGCCGCAGCGGCCGTTTGCGGGGTGAACCAATGGAAAAGGAAGACCTTCCTCTCTGTCTCTCACTGTCTAACTCTGCCTGTCAAAAAAAATTAAAAAAAAAAAAAACAGCAAATGTGAATAGGAATTTAAAAGACAAAATAAACTGAGCAGAGTAATGCTGGGTAAATAGATGCTACATCTTTGTCCAGGCAGGTTCCTAAACAAAGTTAAAATATAGTAACAACACACTTGAGGGGAAATTCATAATCTAGAATTGTGAAAATATATTATCTGACATGTCTCATTTTCAGTAATAACAAAAATTCTGACACATGCTAAGATATGTCTCTTAGGAAGCTATGTGTCTTAGGAAAGTATGAACCATACTACCAGGAAAACAGTAAATAAAAATTGTATCTGGGTGGTCCTGGATGATGTATTTATCAAAGACTTTAAAGCTGTAATTATAAATATGTTCAAAGACTAAACAAAATCATGTTTAAAGGATGAAATGTATTTCAATACTCACGCAACAAATAGAGGACATCAACAAAGAGACAAATTATAAAATAGAATCAAATGAACATTCCAGAGCTTAAATTACAATAGTTTAAATGAAAATTTATTAGAGGACTCAACAAAAGATTTTAGATAGAGGAAGAAAGAATAAATGAACTTGAAGATAGAAATTATACAATCTAAAAAACCAAGTGATAAAAGAATGAAAAATTATAAGAGCCTCTGGGCCAACTGCACCAATATATAGGAAGAGAGCAAAGAGAGGGCAGGAAAATATATTTGAAGAAATAATAGCCTAAAACTTTTCAAATTTTATGAAAAATATTTATCTATGAATCTAAGATGCTAAATAAACCCAAGTAGTCTATATACAATGTGATACCTATCCCTGGATATATCATATTCAAACTGTGGAAAACCAAAGCCAGAGGGAAACTTTCATATCAGCAAGAGTAAAATGATTTATTACACACAAGGGAACGATAATACTGTTAATGACTTAAAAAAAAAAAAACTGAATCCGGCCGGCGCCGCGGCTCACTAGCCTAATCCTCCGCCTTGCAGCGCCGGCACACCGGGTTCTAGTCCCGGTCAGGGCACCGGATTCTGTCCCGGTTGCCCCTCTTCCAGGCCAGCTCTCTGCTGTGGCCCAGGAGTGCAGTGGAGGATGGCCCAAGTACTTGGGCCCTGCACCCCATCCCATGGGAGACCAGGATAAGTACCTGGCTCCTGCCATCAGATCAGCACGGTGGGCCGGCCCCAGCACAGTGGCCATTGGAGAGTGAACCAACGGCAAAGGAAGACCTTTCTCTCTGTCTCTCTCTCTCTCACTGTCCACTCTGCCTGTCAAAAAAAAAAAAAAAAAACAAAAAAATCCAAGAACACATTGACATGATATAGTTAATGATAGGAAAAAATGTCACTCAAAAATTCTGCATCCAACAAAACTATTTTTCAGTCCTGAAGGTGAAATAAAAACATTCCCAAACAGAAAAAAGGAGAGGATTCATTGCTAGCACACCCGTCTTATAAGAAATGCTAAGAAACCCTTCAGGTTTAAAGGAAACAATAGCAGATAATAATTTGAGTCCATGCCAAAAAAAAAAAAAAAAAAAAGAGCATCAGAAATTAAATAACTGGGTAAATTCAAAAGATTATGCATGTATGTATACATATACCCACACATAAATGTATATAGATGTATATAGTTTTCTTTTTCTCTCTTTTGTTAAATCCTCTAAAAGATACAAGATGTATATACTTATCACACTGTATTGTTGGGTTTATAACATACATAGTTGTAATACTTATGACAATGGAACAAAGGAGGCGGAAACAGAGCTATCAAAGTTTCTATGTATTACTGGTATTGTTAGTATAAATCTGAAATAGATAGTGGTAAGTTCTGTATTGTAATTCCTAAAGCAACTCCTAAGAAAATAACTCAAAGACTGTAGTAAAGAATGGAAGGAGATCCAGTGTTGTGGTGCAGTAGGTTAAGCCACTACCTGTGACATCAGATTCCATAAAAGCACTGGTTCGAGTCCTGGCTGTTCTACTTCTAATCCATTTCCCTGCTAATGCACCTGGGAAGGCAGCAGACGATGGCCCAAATACTTGGGTCCCTGCCACCATGTGGGAGACCCCGATGAAAATACTGGCTCCTAGCTTCAGCCTGTCCCATCCCTGACTGTTCCATTTGGAGAGTGAACCAGAAGGTGGAAGATCTTTTATCTGTCTGCCTCTCTCTCTCTCTAACTCAGCCTTACAAATAAATAACATAAATCTTAAAAAAAAAAAAAAGGAATTAAAGTGGTATACCAAATGTATCTATTTAACACAAACTAGAACAGTAAAGGAAAAACAATGGAACAAAAGAGACAAGAAATATACTGGAAAAAATAACAAGGTGGCAGACATAAATCCAACCATTTCAATAATTTTATTAAAAATGATGTCAGGGAGTAGGCAGAGGATATTAGACTGGAAAGAAAGCCCATTCTAAATATAAACACATATCTGTGCTAAAGTAAGAGAATGAAAAAAGAATGTAAACGGTAACCATAAGGGGCTACAGTGGCTTTATTAATGTCAAACAAAATGCACTTTAAAATCAAGAAATAGGCTGGCGCCGCGGCTCACTAGGCTAATCCTCCGCCTAGCGGCGCCGGCACACCGGGTTCTAGTCCCGGTTGGGGCACCAGATTCTGTCCTGGTTGCCCCTCTTCCAGGCCAGCTCTCTGCTGTGACCAGGGAGTGCAGTGGAGGATGGCCCAGGTGCTTGGGCCCTGCACCCCATGGGAGACCAGGAAAAGCACCTGGCTCCTGGCTCCTGCCATCGGATCAGCGCGGTGCGCCGGCCGCAGCACGCCGGCCGAGGCGGCCATTGGAGGGTGAACCAACGGCAAAAGGAAGACCTTTCTCTCTGTCTCTCTCTCTCACTGTCCACTCTGCCTGTCAAAAAAAAAAAAAAAATCAAGAAATATTAGAAACAAAGAGAGATGTTTCATAATGATAAAAGGGTCAATTCCTCAGGAAAGCATAGTAATTATATATGCACATACACCTAACAGAGTCCCAAAATTCATAAAAAAAATGGCAGAATTGAAAGAATAAATAGAAAAGTAAAAGATAATAGTTGGAAACTTCAACAATTCACCATCAATAATTGATAAAAGAACTTATACAAAAAAAGCAAGGGTATAAGAGACTTAAATAACAACATCAATCAACTTGACCTAACTGATTTTTGTAGAATACTTCACCCAAAGAGAACAGAATCCCTATTCTCAACATTCTCAAGGATAGTTCATATGCTAGTCCACAAAAACCTCAATTGATTTAAAAAGAATTAAATAATAAAAAATATAGGGCCGGCACCGTGGCTCACTTGGTTAAACCACCGCCTGCGGCGCCGGCATCCCATATGGGTGCCGGGTTCTAGTCCCAGTTGTTCCTCTTCCAGTCCAGCTCTCTACTGTGGCCTGGGAAGGCAGTGGAGAATGGCCCAAGTGCTTGGGCCCCTGCACCCACATGGGAGACCAGGAGGAGGCACCTGGCTCCTGGCTTCGGATTGGCACAGCACTGGCCGTAGCAGCCATCTGGGGAGTGAACCAACGGAAGGAGGACCTTTCTCTCTGTCTCTCTCTCTCTCTCTCTCTCTCTCTCTCACTGTCTATAACTCTGTCAAAAATTTTTTTTAAATTTTTAAAAAATAATATTCCTTCATAATGGAAAAATTAAATAAGAATTTACAACAGGGGGCTGGCACTGTGGCACAGCATGTAAAGACACCTCCAGTGCTGGCATCCCATATAGGCACTGGTTTGAGTCCCAGCTGCTCTACTTCTTTGTGGTTTTGTTT